TCATGAAGCAATCAAATTTATGACTACTGTTATGAACAGATAATTACACAACGCCAGCATCTTTCCATAAAAAGATGGTCATCTCTTATTTGTTTTACAGTCCCCTGTAAGAGCTACACACTATATGGAAATAAATACACAGCACCTGCCAAAAAGAGCTTACAGTCTGCATGTATGAGGTGTCGAGCCATGTGGTGCCATTGATCCCAGATGCAGGTATCACTGCAAGTTGAGCATGGTATCTATTCCATCACAGCAAGCTTCATTTAAAGTTGCCTACTTTTGTCAGTTTTCTAGAAGATACATTTTCATGTGTGTCCTTAACCTAAGGTTCTCTGATTTCCATTCAAACGAATGTTTGGGGAAAGGGAGGGGAAGAGCACGCACTTCAGTCACTTCCAAAATTCTGTCACTGGACATGCTCCTTCCTCTGTATTTTGTTTACAGCTACTTTTTTCACTTATTAGGTGTATTTTATAAAACCAAACCATCAAAACCTCCCTCTACACAAGCACAGACTGTTCTCCTTGATGTGTTTAATTCATTCATACATTGACGGAGATTTAAATTTTTTTTAATAAGAACTGCTCACATGAGATTTCCTGAGTCTCCAAAACGCATAGGAGCTACTTATGGTTACTTCTGTACTCATAAACAAATAAATATTCTGGAGATTTAGGTCTAGACCACTTCCCCCATAAAAAATCATGCTGTACAACTTCAGTCACTAAACCCTGCACCCCTCCGTTTCCCAATCTCCTTTTGTAGCCGTCGGATGGGTGGGTTTTTTTGAGCAGAGGACGGGATTAACAACCTTTTTCGCGTGGCTGGGACAGAAGGTGCCACAGCAGCGCTCTGCCCACCGAGGGCACCGGCCTTCCCGACGGCGTTATGCGCACCCACACCCTTATTTAACGCTGCGTTTAGAAACCCCTGGCGCAGGAACAAGCGGTTATTCCCCAACCTTTACGTTGCTGACACCGGCCCCGCTCCCAGCTGTGCCGCCCTATCTGCCCGAAGGCGGGGGAGAGCGGGGGATGCCAACAAGTTGCCCAGCCCGGCGGAACGACGGCCCGACCCAAGCCGCCCACCGGAGCGGGGCGGGGGGAGGGAGGCGAGGCGGGCCCTGCCCGGGATACGGCCACACGGCTGGACCAGGCGGCGGTGGCTGCCCGACCCCGGCCCCAACCCGCCCGGCGGCCGCACACCGGCGGGGTGAGGCGGGCCCTGCCCGGGATGCGGCCGCGCTGCTGGACCGGCCGCCGGCGGGAGGGAGG